GAACAGGATAGGTTACCTAGACAAGTGAATGCCACTATCTTAGCTTTGATTCCCAAGACTCCTAATCCTGATGAAATGAGGAATTTCAGGCCTATCTCATGCTGCAACATATTATATAAGGGCATTTATAAGCTTATAGCTAATCGATTAAGTCCACTGCTCCCTGCCCTGATTAGCAAAAACCAAACTGCCTTTGTTAAAGGGAGATTGATAGGTGAAAACATCCTAATGGCACATGAACTGGTCAGCAAGTATTCTCATAACAAAATCTCCCCTAGGTGTGCTTTAAAAATTGACCTTATGAAAGCTTTTGATTCGTTTGACTGGTCCTTCATTTTTCAAGTACTGAAATGTATGGGATTCCCTGAGAGATTTATTACATGGATAAGAATGTGTGTAAGTACCCCAATGTTGAGTGTGTGCTCTAATGGTGGACTTGTGGGTTACTTCTCAGCAAAAAAAGGTTTTAGGCAGGGAGACCCTCTGTCTCCCTACCTATTTGCAGTAGCCATGGAAGTTTTTACCTGTTTGATTGACCACTCAGCTGCTGCTGGGAGATTCCCCTTTCATCCCATGTGTAAGGGGATAAACCTCACTCATCTTTGCTTTGATGACGACCTATTGGTCTTTAGTGATGCCTCAAACTATGGGATACAGGAGTTGCAGAGAATTTCGAATCAGTTTAGACAGATTTCTGGTCTGAAGTCTAATCCTAGTAAATGTGAAATATATTTTGGAGGGTTACATCATGATGAAAGGCAAATTAGAGCTGAAAGATATGGTTATAAGTTGGGGGAGTTCCCTGTCAGGTACCTGGGAGTGCCTTTGATTGCTGGTAAACTGAGTTTATCAGCTTGCAAACCTCTTATAGAGAAAATAGTTGCTAGAATCACAGCTTGGAAGTCAAAGTCATTATCTTATGCTGGTAGAATTGAGTTGGTGGGTACTGTGCTTTACAGTCTGAATCAGTTTTGGATGTATGTCTTTCTTCTCCCAAAGGCAGTGATTAGAGAGGTGGAGAGATTGTGTAGCAACTTTATATGGGGAGTGGAAAGGGGGGTGAAGCTCAGAGCCAATGTGGCATGAAAAAAAATTACTTATCCTAAAAAGGAGGGAGGTCTCGGATTTAGGGATATGAGTAGTTGGAATTGTGCTTGTGCTGCAATGCATGTCTGGCAGATTTTATTACAGGAGGGGTCTTTGTGGGTGGCATGGATCCATAAGTACAAATTGAAAAGGAGATGCCTATGGACTTATACCTGTACTTCAGGGTCCTGGAATTGGCTTAAAATATTAAAGTTCAGAAGTGGACTAGCCCCCTTTATTTCGAGCAGGAATGGTGTTTTGCTACTGGATGGTTTGCATATGCCTCGTTTCTCTATAAAAGAGTTTGGCGACTTATAAGACCTTCCCAGCAGAGGGTTGCCTGGTGGAAATTGCTCTGGAAAGGTGTGGCCATTCCAAGCAATCGGTTGATTACTTGGCTGGTTAATAGAGACAGTATACAAACAAGAGACAAAATGCAGCGATGGGGATTTCAAGGACCCTTGAACTGTGTTTTTTGTGGTGAAGGAGTTGAGAGTAGGCAGCATCTGTTTGCCCTCTGCCCTTTCACTAGACCGATACTTGATAAATTGTTTACAGGTTGTATGCAGGTCCCGGTGTTCCAAAATTGGGGGGATATGGTTTCATGGTTGATCGGAAGTATGGTAAGCAGACAGAGGAGGCTGAGGCAGGAAGACTTATCTGGCAGTCATGGGGTAGTCAGATGTGGAGAGAAAGGTGCTGCAGAATGTATGGGGGTAAAGTTAGGGGGTTGAATGAAGTTTTGGCTGTAATCAGAACTGAGGTTGTGTTTGTTCTTGGAAGGGAAAGGGTGAGTCTCTTCTGGGTTGATTAGCTTGTGGATGTTTCAGAGGTAGTTTTTGGCAGTTCTTGATAGATGTCAACGGGTTGATTCTGATTCCCCTAGCTAGCAAGGGTGTTGCTAGCAAACTCCTTTTTTGATGAATAAGATCCCACAGATTTCATCAAAATAATAATAATACACATGCATATACAAAAATTGATGTATTGTAGTTTACATCGTTTGATTTCTGTTATATTTATTGAAGTATTTAAATAAGTTATATTACTTTTAGAGTGAAATATCACTTTTACCCTTTGTTTCCAATATAAAAAAGAAAAACACATAAAAATGTAGGGACATAGTTGGAATAAAAAAACCCCAACAATCTCATGCAAAGCTTGAGATTTAACTATCACTCATTTTGAGTGATAGTTTGTATCACATCAAGCAAACAATGCATGTATAGTTGGTGCATAAATTACAAAAAAAAAACGATACATTGTGAACAAGTATGCATTACAACTATTCCAACCAAACTATCACCAAAACCAAACGATCATTAGTTACTGCTGTAAGCCCTCGTTTAGTATCAATGTTCTGAAAGACAAAAGTAGAAAATAATGAAACAAATAGTGCGGTATAACCGGTTATAAGAAATTTGAGTGGGAAAATCTATGCAAGTAATATTGGTGATAATGTTTCAGGTGTGTTTTGCAAAAAACAATAGAGAGGAAGGGTAGAAATTAGGTCTAGTGAGATTTACAATCTCTTGAAATGTAATTATTCCGCGATTGATAAGATAAAAAAAAAGTTTTACAAGCATCTTTACCAATACCAAATCCATGACCCAGGAATGGTATTCAAACAACATAATTTGTAAATTCACAGTTTTCGAAGCATATTATCAATCCTTATTTTTCAAATCTAAAGATTACTTATAATCTTCTATTTAAAAAATCCAACATTTATACCATCAAGGTAGGCATTATGAATGACAACGGTGCCTAGACATGTGGGTACCTCAATGTCCTACACCAGTCCCATGGCAAGCCAGGGCAATATCAGGTATTTTTCCATGTAACATGGGCAGTGGTGTAGTTAGAAATTTTAGCAAGGTGGTTCCGACTTAAAAAAAATATTGTATTATTTTTTTTTTTTTTTGTAACCAACGATGAGTTCTCATATTTTCAAAAGTTTGTAAAATACATACATCATCCAAACTATCAAGAATGTCACTCTCAATGTATCCTACCAAAAAATTATTCTTGATATCATCACTCATTCAACTCCGAAGAGTATTCTTCATGTAGTCCAGTGTCGAAATACTCTTTCAAACACTTACAATGGCGAATGTTAGCATTAATGCTAACTTAACAAGAAGATATAGAAGGGAAATAATCTTTAAAAAAAAAGGAGAGTAAGGGACTTTGTTAAGGTGACATGCAAGTCATCATGACGTGGACAAACGATCAACCTATTTGGACAAAATGGTCGACCTCTTTGCTGGAATGGTCGACCGGAGGTACTATTTTCATTTTGCTATGTTCAATCGACAACCTTGCATTTTAATCAACAAACTAATTTAGTTGAAGAGGTCGACCATTTGTTGAACATAGCAAAATAAAAATAGTACGGGTCGATCCACTTTGATCCTGGTCCGGTGAGAAAAAACGGGCCACACTACCCGTCGGGTCGACCTCTATAAGGTACCGGGTTGGAGGTCAAATTGTGTCATTGTTTCTTTGGTTTGCGAAATGCGCCTATTTTTCGATTTTTCTTTTTGCCTAACTCAATCTTTGGAATCCTAAGTTGAACGTTTGAATATTGATGTTATATAAGTGTAAGTGAATTTTCACTATATGTTGCATCTAAGTACGAAATGTTATTTTGGTGTAATATTATATTTTATAACTCATATGTTAGATGGAATTTGATATAATTTATCAAGATAAGAACAATATAAAGACTCTTTCCATATTTCTAGACTAAACCGGGCTAAAATGAGTGACCAATTAACCCTTGACCCACTAGCTCGTCCGGGTTCGAATCAACCCGCGGGTTGACAACCTTGTTAAAATGTCAATAAACCTTTATTTATGAAATGGAGAATATAATATGATAAGTAAAGCCAAATTATTTAAGAAATGGAGATTCGTCTCACGTAATAGTAGATACATTAGGCTTATAAATGGTGTAAAAAACAGTTAACTATACATAATTTGAGTAAACATAAAATCAAAGTTACACAAAATATGCCATGATTGAAGCGGGACAAACTTAGACAAAATGGTAGAATAGTTCATGTTCATTTCACTAGCCAAAGTTACACAAAATTTGAGTAAACATAAAATCAAAGTTACACAAAATATGCCATGATTGAAGCGGGACAAAGTTAGACAAAATGGTAGAATAGTTCATGTTCATTTCACTAGCCAAAGATCAAGTCAAAGATGTCAGTTCGAAATCGTCTCTCTAGTAAACCATGGCTTACTGATTTGAGATAATTGTACAACTATTTTAATCTGAAATCATAGGGAATTGGGAGCATGCTAATGACAAAGGCTAATGACATGATCAATGCGATATTTTGGCAGAAAGTTTCGGGAATGTTAAATCAACTATTTAGAGCTTTTTCCTTTTTTTTTTTTTTTTTTGTGTGTAGAACGAGAGCTTTTTCCTTGAACGATATAATGCAAACCTTTTTAACCTTTTCGCTCCATCTCTATGCACTATGTGTCTGGGAGTACTGTTGTGCACAAAATAAGAGGAAGAGAGAGGAGAGAACACATGATGATGGGGGGATAGAATTCGTGTGGCTAAAGGCTCGTCTTTGTATTTCAATTATTAACAAACTTTCTTCAACTTCCTAAGTGTATTTTGTTTGTGTGAATACTGAATATCAATGATAAAAAGATTGGGTTAAAGACACATTTGGTCACTGAGATTACAAAATCGAGACATGTTTAGTCACTAGAAAAAGTTAATATCAAATTTGATCACTACAATTACTAAAACTGGACGTATTTAGTCATTCGCCGTTAGTCTCCGTCCAACTCCATTAATGAAGTCCGTTAAGTGCTGATGTGGCAAACAGAATTGCCTAATCAGTCGGATATGACCCAACAAAAATAAAACCCGACCCGCCACGTCATTAAAACCAACCCAACCCATGACCCAACCCTTCTTCCTCCTTCCTCCCACCTCGGCACCTCCCACGACGTCGAATAAATCCTCTTCGTAACGACCGAACCGAGCTCCCCCTGTTTGTATTTGCAGCGACGGACACCGACAGATCATGCTCTCCGACGGCGGAGGCAGGGAGGAGAATCGCCCGAACCGATCGAAAATTGCAAGGATATTCCGGTGGATACTTTCGTGCTTTGCTCGTCGCTGTTTCCATGGGGCAGGCCACCGCCGCGAAGCGAAATTGAATTTTTCGCTCAGTTCCGAACGCCGCCTCCGCCTCTTCCGTCGCTAGCTCCTCCCCCTCCATCTTCCAATCTGCGAGAGAATCAATACGAGGAGGAGGAATTGGGTGGTGGAAGCGAAATTGAATTAATTGAAACCCTAACTCAGTTCCCGTCGCCACCACAATCATCAATCGCCTTTTCAAATCGGTGGTCCAAGACAAAGATCCAGATGCCCCTGAATTCATCGTTCTCCCCTTCGAAGAGGTTGTTGTCCAAGAGAAAGATCCAAGTGCCGGCGCCACCACCTCCTCCGCCGCCGCCGCCTCTGCATTTGTCATTCGCCTCTTCAAAGAGGTTGTCCAAGAGGAAGATCCCAGTGCCGGCGCCACCGCCTCCTCCTCCTCCGTCCTCCGGTCGTTTCCTCTGAGTTGTTCCTCGCCGAGAGAATCGAGATGAGGAGGAGGAGAAGGGTGGAAGAAGGGAGGAAGTTTTGACAATCAAATCTCCTCCTCCACCGCCACCTCCTCCTCCGCCATCAGTCTCCCATACGCCATTCAGGAAAGCAACCAAAAGAAAGGGAATCCACTCATTTCCACCGCCGCCGCGGCCGCTGCCGCCAATGCGTCCTCGGCGGTCGTCACTAAAACCACTTAACTTTTCAAAGATTGGGTCCGACAGAAGATCCAAGTGCCCGCGCCACCGTCGCCGCTGCCGGGTCCTCCGTTGGCGCCGCAAAGAGTGGTAGATCCACATAGGAGGAGGTCGGTCGAGCGTCCGCCGTCGGAGGAGATAGTAGGTGACAACGGTGGCCAGCCACCATTAAACACAATGCTTCCACCACCGCCTTTGCCATCGTCACCAAGAATGGACGGCGAGGAAATGGGGAGCGGGCACGAGAGTGAAGGTGGGAGGAAGGACGAAGAAGGGTTGGGTCATGGGTTGGGTTGGTTTTAATGACGTGGTGGGTTATAATGATGTGGCGGGTCGGGTTTTATTTTTGTTGGGTTATATCCGGCTGATTAGGCAATTCTGTTTGCCACATCAGAACTTAACGGACTTCAGTAACGGAGTTGGACGGAGACTAACGACGAGTGACTAAATGCGTCCAGTTTTAGTAATTGTAGTGACCAAATTTGATATTAACTTTTTCTAGTGACTAAACATGTTCCGATTTTGTAATCTCAGTGACCAAATGTGTCTTTAACCCTAAAAAGATTCATATCATACTTTACTTTTTTATTATTATTTTGTTTGTAAGAACTTGCATGTCCCGAGTTCGTAAAGTTTTGTTTCTTGTATGTCATATTTTGCTAAAATGTTATACAAAATTTTATAATTAAATTTTCTTTTTAATTTAAATTATTGTAACCAAATAATTGTTTAGATGATATCATAATTATATTTGACCAATTGGTTGTGGTATGAGAGCAATATATGTGGCATGTACAACTTTAAACGCCATGACTTGACTTTAGTTTTAAAGAGCATGCAAGAAAGAGATATAAAATTCATAAGAAATCTTCTCCCAGCAACTGCTCGACCTATTGTGACAAAATGGTTCTTGACAATATATATATATATATGGCGAGTTGTATGGTACCCTGGATAAAATTCGGGGTACCGCATACCTTGAGTATGAAAACACTATCTAGACCTTGAATTGACCGATCTTTCGGACATGATACTATACTCTAACTCTTAAAGATCAAAATCTAGGTCTTAATTCTCCCAATCTTATACTCCAAGATCAATTTAATTAGAAATAACAATCGACGGTTATGATTCGTCCACATATAGGCACAAAAAGGAATGCACCATCTTAGGGTTTATAGATTATGATTTAGATAATTAGGACCTAGGGTTCATTCATTAAGGATTAGGGTATAGTATCATACCCAAAAATCCTGCTAATTCGAGGTCTAGATAGCGTTTTCATATTCAAGGTATGCGGTACCCCGGATTTCACCCAGGGTACCATAGAAGCCACCATATATATATATATATATATATATATATATATATATATATAAAAGTCTACTTGTTTACTCACGGCCCCAAGACATACCTCTAGCAAGTTATACTAGGAGGACAAGATGGATCCTAAGGACCTCTTGGTGGATTAAGCATGAATGGAGGATGATCTAGAAGCTAGCTCTACATTCATCCAAATCTTTTATTTCCTTTTCTCTCTTCAAATTAATTTGTCAAGTATATATATGTTTTGCTCGATAATATGATCCTATCGAGAATTGACATTGGGTGTTCGGGGTTGAGATTCGGGTTCCAAGCCACAACTCAAATCTCACACCCCCAATGTCTAGGCATAGAACCGATGAGATTAGCTCTAAAACAATTAGGAGTTGTCTCTTCATTCATCTTGATCGTTTTAAATCTTTTCTACCCTCCAAATCAATTCATCAAGTATATATGTTTTGCTCAATAATATAAGCTCGCTGAGAATATACATTGAGTGTTAGGATTGAGGCTCGGTTCGAAAGCTAAAACTCAAGCCCCACACCTGAATGTTGAGGCATAGAGCCAATCGAAGAGGTTGGCTCTATAACTATTAGGAGTTGGCTCTTCATTCATCGTAATTTTTTTATTTCTTTTTTCCCCTTCAAATCAAGTTGTCCAAGTATATATATCTTATGCTCGATAATGTGATCTTGTTGAGAATTGATAGTGAGTGTTAAGGTTGATGCTCGTTCGAAGCCAAAACTCAAGCCCCACGCCTCAATGTTGAGGACATAGAGCCGACCAGGTTGACTCTAAAACGATTGAGAGTTGGCTCTTCATTCGTCCTAATTGTTTTATTTCTTTTCTACCCTTCAAATCAATTTGGCCAAGTATATATCTTCTGCTCAGTAATATGATCTTGCTCAGAATTGACATTGGGTGTCAGGCAATGATTGAAGCCCGAGGCCGATTATGGTGAGCTCGATGCATTTGGGAAAAAGGTAATCCAATGCTCAACATTTTGGAGTTTATTTTGGTTGAGCTCAATATTGTTGTGGAAAATTTTAGCCGACCCTCGAAATGAGATAATACTTTTGTTGGTCTTGTAAAGTTCGAGACTTGTATGAAAAACAAGTCGGTAGAGACCTAGAGCTAGAGGGCTATGGTCAAGACACATGGCCAAGCTTGACACCCTCGGAATCAAGGCCATGCGCTAGTCTAGCGAGACTCGTCTTTAATGGGCTCACTCGGAGTCTATCGAACGCCATTACTGGTTCAGTATAAGTCGATAATAATTATTTTAGTAGAAAACAAAATCCATAAGTACCAAGTACATATAACAAAAAAAAATTTAACCACCTTAGTGAATCTCTATAAGAAAAATATGTGAAAGGATGATGTAATGCTATTGCTTTTTGTATAGGTTTTCAACATCCAAACAATGAAACAAAAGAGCAAGGCTTACTGAACTGTCGTAGAAATGCCAAACAAAAGAAAAATCACTTTGACTAATCCCTCGTGACCCAAAAGGCTTCTTATTAGCAAATTTGTTATCATTATTGTGGGTTAGATGGAATCTCCTTTCTCGTAAAACGATAGTGATTGTTCAATATTGGTTCATTATCCCACACGTACACTTGATAGAAAACCCCATTTCTTTTGCATATAAAAAGGACTTAGGGGTAAGAGACAAAGGAAAAGCAAAAGTGCTTAAGTAGTACTAATTACTTGAATCTCAAGAAGAGTGAAGCTAATTAATTAAAAAGTGGGTCTAATATATGTTGTTCCCCCTCCTCACCTCATATGCTTAGAGAGACAACAAACAGATAATCTCCAATGTTTAAATTTAAATTGTAAGCAGAAGAAATTTAAAAGAGACATGGAGACAGAGGAGAGAGGAACAGGCAGAAGAAGAGTATTTATTTCCCCCCTTTTTCTAGTGAGATAATAAAAAAGCCGCCATTAACAAATGCTTCGTTAATAGGTTTGTTATTATCACAGATTTCCGTTAAAAAAAGTAAAAAAACAGGTTTGTTATTAAATACATTGTCATTAGTAATTACATTGAACCTGAATTTGTTCTATGGCTGCTTCAAGGGGTGAAGGAAAATAGGGGAAGAGGAAAATATGATATACGTTACGGTTATGAGTGTTAAAAGTCGATTGTTAGAATATGACTTGAATTTGATTTGAGTTTTGTTTTGTATTTTGGACCTAATTTGTTTGGGTTTGTGTTTGGACTTTGTTTTGAACTTTTCCTTGTATGTGTTGGGAAAATGTGTTTGGTTTTCTGTTTGGGATTAGGAGAAGAGATCTATAAATACTCGTCATCAATTATAATCTGTAGTAAGGTTAGTCAAGTTAGTTTGTTTGGTTTGTTCGTTCAGGAATTTGGTTTGTCACCTGTACTCTCCTCAAATCAGTGAAATTTGTTCTCCCATGCCCATGGATTAGCTAGCACACATTGAGTTAGTGAACCACGTTAAATTGTGTTCGTTTGTGTTGATTTGGATTATCTTTTGCACGCTTCTGTTCTGACAAGTGGTATCAGAGCCTTTGGTTGAGATTTTGGGAATTTGGCGTTGGACTGAATTTTTGCGCTGAGAAGTTTGGTTGGAGTTTGTTTGATAGCAAGGATGGCTGCTATTAGTATGAAGATTGATAAGGTTACTGGGAGAAACAGTTTCAGTTTGTGACAGATAAAGATGCAAACACTGTTGAAACAACAGGGTTTGTGGGCTCCGTTGTCTGAAAAATCAAAGAAGAAAAGCATAGATGAAGAAGAGTGGAGTACTTTGGAGGAGAAAGCTCATTCTGCAATCTTGCTTTGTTTGGCTGATGACATCATCACTGAGGTTGCTGTTGAGAAGACTGCTGCAGCTTGTGGTTGAAGCTTGAAAGTCTATACATGACAAAGTCTTTAACCAACAAGTTGCATATGAAGCAACGTCTGTTCAGTCTGCATATGGAGGAAGGTACTTCTCTCAGGAATCATCTAGATCAACTCAATACTATCTTGTTAGATTTGCGAAATATTGATGTTAAAGTAGATGATGAGGATGCTGCCTTAATTCTGTTAGTATCTTTGTCATAGTCATATGAGAATTTTGTGGATTCATTTATTGTTGGGAAAGATAGTTTGTCTTTGGAAGATGTCAGATATGCTCTACATACTAGAGAAGTTCGACATAAGGCGTCTGGTTCAGGTTCGGAAAATCAGGCATCTGGGTTAGCTGCTACGGGTAGTAGGAGACAACAATCTGGTAATAGAAAGGCGAATATAAATTCAAATTCTGTTGGTTTGAAGGATGATGATATATGTCATTACTGTAAGGAGAAAGTGCATTGGAAATTTGATTGTCCTAAACTAAAGAAAGATTAGAAGAAGAAGGAATCATCTGCTGCTGTGGCGGAAGAAACTAACTCTGATTCTGAAGCTGGTTTAGCCTTAGCAGTGAATGAACATGTACATCATCAGGATGTGCGGTATTTAGATATTGCAGTTGATTATCATATATTTCCAAGCAGGGAGTGTTTTTCAACTTATGAGCAGATAAATGGAGGACATATTTCTATGGTCGGGGTGCTATCTGTAAGATTGTTGGAAGAGGCTTCGTCAGAATAAGGACACATGATGGTTCTGTTCTCACCTTGAACAATGTTAGGCATATTACAGAGATGACTAAGAATCTGATGTCTTTAAGTCTACTCGACGACAAGGGTTTCAGTTTCAAATGTGAAGGTGAAGTGTTGTCTATCTGCAAAGGTTTTAAGGTGATTCTGAAAGGTGTTAAGGTTGGTGTCTTGTATAGTCAAGGTTCTGTTTTGACATGTTTTGTTGGTGATAAGTGCACCAAGATGGTTCTGAATGGCAAGTCTCAACATGGGTTGGATA